TATATATATAACACAAGTAAATCCAATGGTGTCTTCGGAGTATTATTCTTTCTTTTAAAAACACACACACACACTCAAAGGCAAGCATGAATGTTCTGCATCGATATCTTCGAAAGCCTAGTGATTCTTGGGTATCTCCAGTACGCAATAAGTATTTTCGCACTTTGAAGTACTACGCTGGTTATCTAGCTTGGCTACATCTGCACGTGCCATCATAAACCTCGCTATCATGTCCTTATACATAAACATATGAATACTTTATATGTATCAATTCTTCTGAAATGTCAATTCTAACTCAATTTTGCCATCCTTGTGCAGATTCGAATCTACGCATTCCCCACTGGACGTTTACGGGTGATACCATGGTAACCAAAGAGAAGATACGTCTGACCAAAGATGCGCCCAGTAAAAGTGGCATGCTATGGAATACAGCGGGGCTCGAGAGTGCGAACTGGATTATTGAGTAAGTTTTAGATGATTGTGCTGTTCCAACTGTACGAATGCGTATCGCTGTGTGTTGTGACCGAGGCGTGAACGCGGTTGGTTTGTGATGTACTGATGAACCGTGTGATCTATGAGTTTTCAGCAATCGGCGTGCATTGTGCAACTGTGGGGTTTCGAGCATATTCTATTTGTGTGTTTGTTTGATTGGGGTACTTCGGATGTGTAGGGTCTGTCCTGGCAAGAATATGTTCATGTCTAACTATTAAGTACATAGATATCACCAATTAATCAGCATGTATGTAGATGTATAGTACGTATGCATGTGTTCGTAGAGTTATTTTTTTCAGTGAAGCGTAACATATACTATGTATTATACATAGCAAATCTGCCTCGGGTATGGTCAATGCCTATCTCATATAGTTGTAATTAGACCCAGGACTACTGCAAATACCGCATGGCTTTTCATAAACTGAGACCCCAGCGTGTATATAATACAGTACAACCCTTCTCATAGTGTGACGCCTCCATGTTGTTCATCATTCATCATCATGACACTATTCGAGACGAGCAATGTAGGAGAATCATATATTGAATCATGTTGGGCTCAATCCGATAAAACATTCAACTTCTGGCTTTTTTCCTTTACTGATCCGCTTTCGTTTATCTTGTGATACACCATCCCGCCAATTAAAACCTAATCTTCAAATAGATTCGAGTTCGCGGTGGACGGAGAATCGAGTCGTCTGTACGGAGATGGCTTTGTGTTTTGGCTCACAAAGGATTTTGCCAAAGAAGGCAATGTTTTTGGGGCGGCAGATAAGTTCACTGGACTGGCCATTTTCTTCGACACATACAACAACCACCAAGGAGAACACAACGTATGTGGGGTTTAGTATTGTGGTTGCTATGTGCGGCTTGACACCAGTATACATTCGATGTGATGAATCTATAGTAGTATTATGAGTATTTGTGATGTGAGTTTGGTAAGTATAGTACTTTTGCACGGTTCATTTCCTACGCCGTAGTAACACCATGAAGAACACAAAGCATGTGTATGCGTTTGGAGTATGGTGGTTACTGTGCTCGGCCTGGCACCCTTGCAATGAATCTGTAGTAGTGATGCGATGAATTTTTTGGGGTGTGAGATTGACTGGATTGACTGGTATGGTGCGTTGTTACGGTTCGTGTTCGTCACCGACCAAAGCTACCAGTAGAATACAAAATCTTTGTACCTTTTGAGAATGTTATTTACTATGCGCGCTGTGACCTCACGAGACACTTGTGACGAGTTGTCGCAATTTTGGTGGTGATGAGAATATTTATGATGCGACTTTGTCGGATGAGAGCGACCACCAAGGAGAGCACAGTATGCATCCTGCTGAATATATCATTCACTGTGGTGTGTGCTTAGAGTTTAGGAGATCATTGTAGTGGATAATGCAGTATATGCGATGCGGCTTTAGATGATCCGATTGCTGAGTATGGTTGCTTAGTTCGGGCTATGTTGGGTATTGTGGGTGCATTCGCTTGTAGTCGTGTCTTTTGGGTGTAATGTGAGCGAGAGTTAGTTTTCCGTCGAGGCCACGGCGCTTAGTGCAGCAAACAAGCAAGCCTACCTGCACTTGAATGACATGCGCTAGTATTGGCATCTTGCACGCTTGTCAGCAGAAGCTAGATGTTCGTTTGAGCGTCTGTCATGGATATATGGATGCATTTTATTCATACGAATAAAACACTCACAACTATAGCCCGTCACGTATAATATAAGCCTCGGTACAGCTACTATGTTAATGTATCACTCACGTTGAGCGCCGGACGTCAGGCTCAATAAATTATACGTGCGTGCTAAACTTTATCCTGTGTATTCCCAATTGTTCTATTTTTAGCACGCGCATCCATACATTAGCGCCATGATGAACGACGGTTCCAAATCATACGACCACGATGCTGATGGCACGCACACAGAAATGGCAGGATGCCAAGCCAATTTCCGGGCCAAAAAGCACCCCACAAGGGCACGCCTGTCCTATTTGGATCACACATTGTCTCTGGATTTGGATTACTTAGGCCGAAATGAATACCAGAGATGTTTCAGCGAACCTCAAGTGCAGATACCTACCGGATACCATATCGGGTTCAGTGCGGTCACAGGTGCATTGCACGGTATGTGTACCCCTATGTATATGTATATGTATCTGAATATCATACATGTATGTATTGTGTATGTCTCATGGGTATGCTCAGCGAACCTGATCAACAGACACCTGCCGAATATCTATCGAGTTAAGTGCGATCACGGGTACTTTGCACGGCCAGTGTACCCCTTTGTATATGTGTGTGTATCTGAATATCATACATGTCTACCTTATATATGTCTCGTCGGGTTTATCGAGGCGTAAGTTGTCCCCATCAGGCAAGCACGTACTATAGCCCTCCCTTCCCCTCTTGGAGGTCACTCAGTACTTGTTCTCATCAGGCTCGCACGTACTATAAGTTGTGCTTAGACTGGACTGCCGGGGCCGAGATGTATACCAAAAATATGCTGGCGAACCCAACCCAATATTTAGATACGTACCGTATACTATGTGTGAATGCATCTGAAGTATTATATGTATTGGTATTATTGTTATAAAGTTTTAAAACTTAAGAGTTTAGGGGTTTGGGTTTTTTAGGTATCTAAACTCAGACAAAGAGCAGCAGACTCATTGCGCACACCCGCAGGTACGTTGTATATATCCCGATTAGTCACCAGGGCAGATCTGCTCCCTCTTACGCGCTCCTTTCGATACCATACAACAGCTCATTACAATGCACGTTGGCAATCACATATGTGCTTCTGATACAAACTCAATCCGTATGTCAATATTCTCCGCTCGCATCTGTATTTTATGGTTTGTGCAAGGTTCGATGCTCAATTGCTGATAATTGCATCTATGTTGCCGTTCTGACTGTTGTTCCAACTTTTATGTGGTTAACTCCAGCTCTAATACTGGCAGACAATTTACGGTATCACAGACGTTATGACCAGGAGCGTATCAGTCCATTGTGCGAGTGTTCGGTACTTTTCTAATGTATGTTTCCCATTGCTATATCCATCTTGACAGATAACCACGATATCTTGAGCGTTATAACAAAGATCATATCAGTCACCAACCCCCCCCGACAAGATGATATTGCGGACAGACACAATGTGAAGCCAGCAACCGCTCGAACAATCGAAGATAGACGTAAGTTACTATAGGCATGCATGTGTTGGTAGGGGTATCTGTATATATGCGATATGAGTTTTTTTGTGCTTGTTTGTGTGGTTATGTGTGTATACAGGTATTTGTGTATCTATGTGGGAGGTGTGTACGTAGTTATTGCATACATATCTTGTCTACGTGTGTATATCGCATATATAAAGGGGACATTGTTGCAGGCAGACACAATGTGAGGCCAGCGACAGCTCCCACAATCAAGGATATACGTATATTACTATATGCGTGGCGTGTGTGGGTCAGGGTATAAATGCATATTCTTGCATATACTATATAATCAGCTTATAATCAGTATTTGTGCATTATTCATGAATTACTATACTATCAGCATATGATCAGTATATGTATATCTGATATATGTATATTCATATGAATATCGTGTGTTTTTGCGTGTGGCAAAGTGTATATACATGTATGAGTGTATCTAGTTGTTTGCGTCTAGGGATGCAAATGAATGCATATATAATGTAAGCGTGCATATTTCGTACCAGAAAAAGGACACTGTTGAGGACAGGCACAATGTGAAGCCAGCGACGGCCCGCACACAAACAATGACAGATATCAGTTACAATGAGTACATGTGCATGTTTATATATGTGCTTGTTTGCGCGTGGAGTAGTGTTTATCGAACGATATATATATATATATATACATGTACACACACACATACACATACAAACACATCCATATACAAACATACATACTTACATATATTAATATAAATATATTA